AGAGAGAGAGAGAGAGAGAGAACATTGAAGTAGTGAAAGTGATTTAATTAATTTTTTATCCGCATTTTCGTGATTTATCCGGGAATTAATTAATCGTAATTAATGGTAAATTTTTTTCTTCTCTACTTACTCTATCCAAATCTTTTTCATTTCGATCCTAGATATCTTGGAAACCAGTTCTATTCGAATTGATATTCAACGCGAAAGATTTCTTTTTTTCGATTTGTTTTGAAGACAAGAATACAGAAGAAATATGAGGAAGAGAAAATTGTTTAATCATTAATGGTAAATTCTTCTTTTTTCCACTTACCCTATCCAAATCAATATCTCATTTCTAGATATCTTGGAACCAGTTTTTTTCTACGTGAAAGGTTTCTTTTTGATTTATTTTGAACACAATATAGAAGAAATATGAGGAAGAGAAAATTGTTTAATCATTAATGGTAAATTCTTCTCTTCTCTCCACTTCTATTCCATCCGAATCATCGTCTCATTTCGATCCTAGATATCTTGGAAACCAGTTTTATTCGACGCGAAATATTTCTTCTTTTCGATTTGTTTCCTTTTTGAAGACAATAGAAATATAAAAAGAAGAGAATTTCATTCATTCATTCGTTACATCGATAGCGAAAGCGGTTCAATTAACCGCATTTTCGCGATTTAATATGTAAGATAATTGTCCTGTCTAATGGGAACTGTTCGACGGAAAGAAAGCAGCGTTGTCGTTTCGACGGTGCATCGATCCGTTCGAAAAACTCCGACGACGAACAATCTCTTTCCTCCTCCTCTTCGTTCACGAGACAAAGTAAAAATTGCGATCGCGGTGGGAAAACTGCTCTCTCGTTATCGTACACCGTCCGCATTCCTATATCCATTACCAGCATTATTGCCCTCCCCTACTTTTTATCTATCCAACAAATAACATTCTAGACAAGAAATCGAAAGGATAACAAGGGGAAAGCGATCGATCTTCGTCCGAGACGAATAATTCTTAATAATTTATTAACTGCGCGAAATAAGTTCTTTCCCCCCTTTTTCTTCCAAATTCGAGATTTTATTATACGTAAATCGAACACAAGATTATCCAATCGTTTCAGTCGCAGAGATACCGCTTGACAATTCTTCACTTAAATCCATTGTCTTCCAAATTAAAATTTCCAAATTTAAATTTTAAATTGATACGACTTTTCGCACGTTTCGTGAGATACAACGTTCTCTCCAAATGGCGAGCGCGAACCATTTCGGTAGTTTCGAGTATTGATTTACCAAGCTGGAGTGCAAAAAATAGGCAGCGACGCGAACGACGCTTCTCGAACATCGTGTCGTTCGAAATCGTCGCACGGGACTGGAAACTCTAGTCGCGACTCTTCTTAACCGTTTCTTTACGGGCGATTTCTCGGCCGTGGCAAAAAATGTACACAACATTCGAGAAACATCGTCAACGGTCGTGTTTACGCTTCACTGCTTTGACGATGTTTACTGGAAAAAAACTTTCCTCGAAACGATGTATTTGTAAATACGCTCATATTTAATTACACTTTGGGATCGAATAACATTACAGTATATAATAATATGATATAATCGTACGAGAAAGAAATGATTAAAAACAAAATACTGATGCTATGTTTTCAAATGTACTCGATGTAGAATAACTCAATACGCGGCATCTTATGTAGAGCGACCATAGTCGGCCGTAGTACGTCAGTGGCATTTTGTGTAGAACGACTATACTAAAACGGTTAAAAAGAACGTTGTTTCCAGATGGCGCCGCGAGCGATAATTCGAATTCGGTCGAAAGTTACGATGGTGGAAAAAAGAGGGACTTGTTTGCTAATGGTAAGATCGATCGATACTACGAGATAGATACAATCTTATAATTTGATTAGAATCGATTCGATTTTCAGAATGATAATGGCATTATTTTTGCGAAATATATTTCGCAATCAAAAGGATTTTTCGATGTAATTGTGCGATGACATAAAATTCGTGTTAGAAGAAGGAGTAAGAGAAGATATAATAGAACGTTGTGTAATTAGAAGCGGAAACGAGTGTATCGATCGTGTGAATTCGTGTATCGTACGTATCGCGATATTAGTAACAACGTACATAAAAGGAAAGAGTTTCTCTTATTATATATAAATTACGAGTAATAAGTTTATTTTTGTTTCTCCTTCTCTCTTGAAAATTGAAATTCCCCGTTGTGTTCCACCGCAATGAATTATTTAGATATATACGATT